GAATTTGTTGTTGAGAAAAAACTATTTTTGTTAAAAAAATGGAGTAACCAAATTGGTCAATACTTTTTCTAGCTAGTTCTTGGAAAGTGGTGACAAAAAAATTCAAACTTTATAGAGTGGTTAATATTTTTTTATTTTTAATTAATGTTTCAATTTCGAGTTTCTTGAGTACAAAATTGTTTTTGTTAGGGAGTGTTTTATTCCTAATATGGGACTTTTCGAAGTGTATCCAAATTTAATCAGACTCCAATGTAGATACTGAACACCGAATCAGATGAGAAACCAAAAAAAAATCATCATTACTATGAAATTCTAACTTAAATTTGTTGTTGAGAAAAAAACATTTTTATGTTAGGTAGGTTTTTTTAGTTATCTCTTTGAAAATTTCCTTAAATTTAGGATGCTAAATTTTCATGTTACCTTATATAAGGACACGACTTGTTGGAATCATCTTTACTCCTCATTTAAACTATTTTACATATATTTGATTTTACATGCCCAAAGTCCTTTTCAATCTTTTACTTTCATGGGTCACACGTGTAACATAAATTGCCAAAAATAGAATCACTCGATAGCAAGTTAAATAATATTTGATTTTACATGCCCAAAGTCCTTTTCAATCTTTTACTTTCATGGGTCACACGTGTAACATAAATTGCCATAGTGAAAATAGAATCACTCGATAGCAAGTTAAATAATAATTAGTATTCATTTAATTAAGCTTTAGCAAGTAAAAAGTATTTGACCAACATAAAATATGATTATGATGAAATAATCGAGATCTCTTCTTCTTTTATCATTAGTTTTAAGTTCAAGCCATGAAAATGAAAAAAAAAAAAATTGTTCTTGCGGAGAAAAGCCTACTTATTTGCTCTTGCTGCTTTTAACTTAAGAGCAAGTCGGTCTAGCTTTTTACTCTTTCACCTTTCCTATTTTGTCAGTTTAAGTACTGGAATGGGAGTTACAGATATTCATTCCTACGATATGTATGGCTAACTACGATGGAATAGAGCCATTTTACATAGAACCCCTTGGGCTTTGACCTGCTTTCCTTCGCTTACCAGAGAGCGGATTCTTTATTACTGACTTTTCGCGGTTGATCGCACCTCACACGCCTGCTTTAGCTCGTAATTTCACTCTTGCTTTTCACAAATTTAGTTGATTTGGCCTCTCTTTCCTCTTTTACCTCTCAAGTTTTTGTGCAATTAACTTTTGCTAAATTAGGCATAAAAGATGGTGATTTCATTTCAAGTTAAAATAGGTGTTAAAGGGGAAAATAAAATACTTCTAAGCATTTGGTTTTAAAGGTAAAATAAATTTGAATTTTTAACTTATGGCTTATAAGTTACAAGTCAAAAATTAATTCAAACAAACTCTTAATATAGTCTTTTTTAATTTTATTTTTGTAAAATAATAAAAAGTATTTTCAGAAGATACTCTACTTAAAGAAAAATATCTTTAATGCTAAAAACATACTCTCTATGTTCCTATTTATACGCTACTATTTTAGATTTCATGTCCCTTAAGAAATTAGGTAAAAAATTATCATTGTATTCTTATTTAGTGTTTTCTTAAAGTCAAGTTTTCAATTAGTGAACATGAATTAATTTGACCAATGGACATGAATTATTTACTTAGTTTTTCCATATTGATCAAATATATATTTTCAAGGCTAATAATAACTCTCAAAAGTAAAATAGGAAGAATAGTGTCATTGGATTGATTTTGTAAAATGACAAATATTAAGAACTATCTATTTTTCGTAAAAACGACATACAAATAGAAACTGAGGAAGTATATCTATTAGTGAAAGTCACGTTTCATCATTAACTAATTATTAATTAAAAAAGTGAGATTTCATAAATATTTTTGTCTATCAACATCGACTTTGGAATATATTGGAGGTGTGTTGTACATTCAATTTCCTCTAACATTGGTGGAAATGTGCCACACAACAATCAGGCACCTCTTTATTGACTTGCTTATTTCGTATTGAGAGTGTGTTTGAAAATTTCAACCTTTTTTGTCGATATTTCTATTTTATGCTAAGGATATATTTAGAATTTCAATATCTATGCATTAAAGATATTTTACAAATGTTTATTCATAGATATTTAGTTCCATGTCAATAAAAGATAGTTGCCAAATAAGTGAAATTCAATATGAGTAGAAGGTTGATAACGTTATTCATAAAATAAAATGTGTCTCTTTTGAAACTGATTTAAAAGAAAAATGTATCGCATAAATTGAGTAGAAAAACCACATGACTACTTTTAGTATAATTTGTTAAGCCCATACTAACACGAGGCTTTGCATCTAGTCTAATAATATCTATTACATTCAATTCAAACTCTCTCTATATAGTAGTATTAAAGGATCGTTGGGCGTGAGGGATAAAAATAAATAATTTAAGAATAAAAAAAAATAGCAGCTTACATAAATTCCGCTAATTTAATACCTATAAATGGAACTCATATTGCAATCTTCACTAATTTTCATTAATTAATAATTCCAAGTGAGGTTTCATAATTTTGTCTATTGACATTAATTGACTTTGGGGATTTCTTGGAGGTGTGTTGTCCATTCAATTTCTTCATCATACATGTGGTGGAATATGTCTTAACAACAAGTATGTACTTCTTTATTAATGTGTCTACTTTATATCGAAGGTATCTTTGAAATTTCAAACCTCTTCATTAAGGTGTTTGTTTCATGTTAAAGCTTTTCGGAAATTTTAATGTACTTTTTACTAATAATTTGGTCCTACATCAATAAAAACTTCTTTGCTGAATAAGTAAAACACAACATGGGTGACATCATTAAACATTTATAAGAAATGTGTTTTTTTAGGGTAACTAAAAGAAAAATGTATCGTATAAATTGAACAGTAAAAACACATAAAATCATTTTTAGTATGATTTGTTCAGATCATGCTGACAAAGGACTTTGCATCTTCCACAACAATAAGTATCAAATAACTCTGTCTATCAAGACAAAAAAATAACCCAGTGTTTTGTTGTCTTCTGCGACATTTAAACCTTAGACCTTATGAATTTTAACCCCATACACCCTTGGGTGCCTCTGACCAAACTATTAAAGCAACTTAGGTTTTCCCTTAGCACTAGCCACCTATGGTGATCTTTTATCCAAGCCATTAACCACCTTGACAAAGAGAAACACACAATGCCTTGTCAAGGATGTAGTGACAAATTCGAGATTCGAGATTTAAATACTGAACTTTTATCCAAGCTAACAACCACCATGGTGAAGATACAGTAGCGAATTCAAGATTTATATATCAAGAATTATTGTTTAAAATATAGTTTCTAAAATATCTATTATACCCTAGATTTTATATTTGTTTTTCACATGAGTATAAAATCGTTTGACAGACTTGAATTCTATCGAACTTGTACCTTCTTCTGTGGATCCAACACTACAACTACAAGGATATATATCCACTTTTGGTATAGTCATTTAACTTATGTCTGCTTTATAATTTTTTGTACAATGGATATTTATTGCAAGGTCTCAATTATTGTGATAGTTAAACCTAAATATTAATAGTTGGACTTGGTTACCCCTATAGCCCTTATCTATGATTCAGATTAAGGCTAGGGAAGGCCTTCATTTTGTATAGTATAGAAACAGCCTGGCCACAGTATAATTTCACAAGTCACATCTACGGAGGGTAAAATTAACGTAGACCTTATCCAATTTTTATGAGGTAGAGAGGTTCTTTCAACTAGACCCTCAACTTATCAAAGGTAAGTTTTTGAAGAGGAGACAAATATTGTGCTCTTAAGTAAACTTCAGTCAAGCATTAAATAAACCATGTTCGGAATGGGAAAAGGTTGGTAAACTTATGGATTGACCAGTTCTTCATTGGAAAACCACAATTGCTTAACTGCTACTCTTTTTAAGAGGTCGTTTGGTTTAAATACACGTTATGATGGTATAAGTTATGCTGAGATCATTTCTAATTGAGTGTTGATTTGTTATATATTCAAAATAATATGCATTGCATACATTTTAAGAATATTTTATTTGTTTGCAAAAGTACCCTTCATTTTATATAGTTTTTAAAATTTTCTTTGCAAGTTTTAATTATTCATTCTTAAAAATAATTTTTTTTATTTTATTTAGATTAAATATTTTTGTGTGTGCATTCCCATGATGATACCTTATTTATTTAAAAATAAATTTTTCTTCTTATTTAGCTTTAAAATAGAACTTTCATCTTTAATTTGTTAAAGTAAAAAAAGATTAATGAGGAATCAAAATATAAATAAACATAAGAATTAGTTGAATAAATTGATAAAATAAAAATTACATTCATATAGTGTATTTTTTAAATAGAAAAATATGAAGAATTATCATAAAAATAAGTAGTAAAGGTTGTGAATGTTATTTATACTTGGTATTCAAAAAATGTAAATATACGTGAATGTGAAAAGTGATGTATAAAAAGGGGTTAAAGGGACATCTTTGCCATTTTTACCTATTTTATCCCGGGATTACTATACCACCCAATGGGAGGGATAACTTATTCCGGTATCAATTATTAATTCCGGAATAAGTTATTCTGGACTTGCCAACCAAACAACAAATTAAGTGCCACTATAATTTAATCTCAAGATTATTTGATATTATCCTTCACACCAAACGACCCCTAATAGTTTACCACATTCATTGTAGTTATGATGGGGTTCTGAAGCACAATGAGATTTTACTCGTTGGAGTTAATTGGATGGTCCGTAGGCTTTCTTGCTCTCCATGGAGCTTTTGGTCTAATATGTTTCATTTTACGTCAATTCAAGCTTGCTTGATCTGTTCACTTAAGACCTTATAATGCAATCACATTCTTTTGTCCAATTGCTACTATTTGTAGCAACTATATTTCGATTCATCCTATTTTTACAAGGGTTCCATAATTGGACCGGAGTTTCATATGATGGGAGTTGCTGCTTTGCAATTGCAAGAAACTAATCAAATATAACAGGAGATTGAAATATATGAACACAACAAAGTAATCAAAGAGTGTTAAACTAGAGCGGATTCTAGAAAGCGTGATATACAAGCAGTTGAATAACAACATACCCTCATTTTTCGCCTGATTAAATTCGGAAGAAGTCCGTCTGGAAACGATCATCATACAGTTGCCAATGCCCGTACCGCTCTGTTTGAGATTCTAAGCAGAGGTGAGGCTCCTTCAAGGTTTTCAATTGCTTCATATTCGACAAGGCATTTGCAATATCCCGGCTAGTAACATTTGTACATCCAAAGAGATCCAAATGCTCGAGGTTCATACACCCTTCAGATATCAAAGCTAGACCTTTATTAGTCAATTTGGAGAATTGTAGTTCAAGTTGCACGAGTTGTGGCATGAATTTCCCTATTGCAGCAGCTTCTGAATCGCCATCTTGAGGACAGGTATCTACATACTCCCTAGGGACAAAGGGTTCTTGTTGGGAAGGATTAACCTGAGTCCTGAGATTTCGCCTTAGAATTTGCAAATTAGGACAATGCTGTCCTATAAGAGCTAGAGACTTGTGAGATATTTGATAGCAGAAGCTGATATCAAGTTCCCTAAGCAACGGGCAACCAGAGGCTATCTTAGACATTGTTTCATCGGTTACATGTGGACACCTCTGAATTGAGAGAACTTGAAGGTTAGGCGACCTGTAAGAATAAAGTCAGAGCAAATATTTACCATTCATAAACAATTGTATCGCGAAAAATTCACCAAAATTAGGAAAAGATCATCTTTTGGAAGAAGTAGAGTTATCAGAAACATGAAAAGAACTCCGTCATTTCTAAAAGATTGGCGAGTTTTTTTCTGTTTGATAAGTAAAAAGATAGGTATTGTTGCTGAGCATGTCAGATCACTGATCATCCCCATTGCTTCTAATCTGATCAAACACATAAAGATTAAGCCTACACTTTAAGCCACAAGAAAAAGCAATGGTCAGTTCCAACTGCATCAAGTCTCATTTCTCCGGGGAGTCATCTAATTTGTGAATTTCAGATATAGTTTGATGATCACACATAAACCCCAGCTCATACCGAAAAACATAAAAACTTTAGAATCCCAAGAAGAAAAACTGATAGCGACGCCCACTGTCTTCGGTCTCAACGTTTTATTACTAGTCATTGTTCATTATGGCCACCAATACAACAGACAACACCTACTAGTCATTGACTCATTTTTCACTATGGCAACCAATACAATAGTTTAAGTCCATCCCTCCTTATTTCTTAGAAAAGAATCTTAAGGTTGGTGTTTGGCCAACTTTTGTCCACCTCGACTAGTGGACCGCGTACCTGTTATGCCCCACCAGCACAGGCACCAAGTAACTATGCCCTTTGAGGCTCAATCAAATGAAAAGAAATCACCTAGCATTCCCTAAATCAGTATTTCAAGACAGATTTTTTAAACACTTTTTTTTGGTAGTTTCATGAATTCAAATTTTTGAGATCTTTTTGCTCATTTCACACATTGGACATTGAAAATGTCAGGCAATGAACTGATGAACCAAAGAACTATCTAAAACCAACTAAATAGTAATACAACATCATCTCATTGTTGAGAAGAACATAACAAAGTGCAAAATGAATATGCAAAGGTCTATTTAGAGGGCAGTTTCTGCTCTCAAACATTAAAAAAACATGACATGCAGATGTAAAACCAAAGCCATCACACATCACGTGAACGACCTCCATATTCCTATCTAATCCAACGGCTTAAACAAGAAATGTAGATTACTCTACTCTAACGGAAACAAGTAAATCCGACAGGATTTTTAGTACTGCAAATACATAGCACAGCCATAAGACTCTTAAGCAACATTTCCACTTGCAGCTAACCTTTTCAAGATTTTTCTTTTACTCCTTATATTTCAATTCAGAAAAATTTACAAACAAATTCTCAGCCATAAATGTCGTTCTTCTCATGATTTCATTTGTCACCCATAACAATTTCAAAAAATACACATAAATCCTCTGCCAAAATGCATTCTTTCTCTTTCCAAAATATTCTTTGTTACCACCCAGTTCCACCGCAACTATAAAATCCCAGTTTTTCTCAAGATTCCTTTCTTACCCAACATCTCAATTTAGAAAAGCACAAATTAATTAGGCATTATACATAAACATGCTTTTTAACTTGACCTCAACTAGCATTTACGCCTTCCAACTTTGTGTATGTACAAATGGACACTTCTAACTTATATAAAGTTGAACAAGTAGACACACATGTGTGTAGCATGTGCCTACTTCTTCAACTTTATATAAGTTTTAGTGTCATAATGTCTTTTATTGCACGGGCAAAGTTGATTGACATAGATGTCAGCTAAGACCAAGTTAAAAGATACACTTATATATTATGCTGATGAATTACCTCTTTTATTTCATTTTACATGACAAACTTAACTCCGTCCGCAAAGGAAACAACAGCTTTCTATTAAAAAAAATCCTTTTTTTTTACCATGCAAACATTAACTAATTCCACGAGTAACTACTACCTCCTACATTATCATCTAATGATTCATATCATCTAACTCTTCATTTAGACTTAATAAGATGATATATATATATATATATATATAGCTACACAAATATCTATAGTTAATCAAGCATGCATCACGGACGAGTTAACTCGGATCAGTCATGGCTACTCCACGACTCGGTCTCCATTAATCACACAAATTTCAATTTCATGCTCAATCAAATACCGTCACATAAATTGAAACACGACAACTAAAAATCTCTTTTTTTTCTTATAAAATTGGGAAATTTGACTTACCTTTCAGCGATCAAAGCTATGGAACGATTAGAGCAATGCCTAACCCGAACAAAATTCAGAGATCCATCACTCCAAATTACAACAGATCGAACCATAGAATCGATTTTACTCTCGAACTCGCGATTCCAGTAACGAGTCGTCGTCCACGACGACGACTCAGAGACCGATTGGATGAACTGAGCTTCGAGATCGATTACCGAATTGAGATTAGGATCCTTACAAGCTTGTAACCAGGATCTGCAGACAAACATGGCACCTCGCCATCGATCTTCAATGGAGAGATGAGAGAGAATGTTAACTAGGCATAACTGAGTTAACTCCGCCCAGTTATGGATCTGCACTGACTTGGTTTTCTCTTCTTCCTCAGCCATTTTTGGGGGAAAACTAACACATGAAAATTATTAGAATTTCAAAAACCTATCTATTTATATTTTGTGCATTACCATCCGAGCAACTCTCGATTTGGTGGGTTATGATAATGTCACGTGGCAAAATCTGATAGTTTTGTAGGGCTTTGTTACTTGTTAGTGGTTAGTGGCACGAATGAATCACATGGGTTTATGATTATGACATAAATAAAGTTCTAATATTAACGGATGACATAATTTGCCCTTACCTATATATTCTAGTTTTGGTCTGTTAACAACTTGTTTGGATGGTTGATACCTATAGTTTATAATGTATCATTTTGTACTATAATGGCTTGTAATGTATTATTTTGTAAATATAATATTTGAATAAATTGTGTACATTGTTGCGATTTAATAACATTCTTTACTTTCTTTAATCCCGTGTCAAGTCAAAATCACACAAATAAATTGAAACGGACAGAGTAGTACATTAAGGTGACAATTTCTCCTTCATGTCTCATTGATGCATAGTCACCACAAGATCATGGTAGGAGTGATCAAACAAGAGCTCAATGAACACATCAACTTCCCTCTTTTGCAAATGACAAGAATTTTGACACTTCTTGTTGTCACCTTAACAACTCTAGTAGATCCTTTTGATCCTCAAGTTCAACTGAACTACTACCAAAGTCCTTTGATAATCCCCTCTCTTTCATCAACGCTCGAATTTTCTCCGCGTCATCCCACCTTCCTATTTCACCGTATAAATTAGCCAACACAACGTAGTAGGCCGAGTTTCTTGGTGCCAATCCTATAAGCTTCCATGCAGCAAACTCACTCAGTTCTTGATTTCCATGTAACCTGCAGCCAGCAAGCAATGCCCCCCAAACGCTCTTTGTTGGTTCCATTGGCATTTCTGTGATCATCCTTAACGCGTCTTCTAAATACCCCGAACGTGCTAATAGATCAACCATACACGCATAGTGTTTCACACCAGGTGGAAATCTATACTTCTCATTCATCAACCAAGAAAAAATTTCTCTTCCCTGTGCAACCATTCTGGTATAAGCACAAGCACAAAGCACGGCTACTAAAGTCACTTCATCAGGTTTGACATTTTCGCGCTCCATGATGAAGAACCATCGCACTGCCTCCTCCCCGCTTTTAGCTAACGCCAACCCCCTGATCACAGCATTCCAAGTATACACATTCCTATGCTTCATCTCTTGAAATACCCAAAAACCGTGTTCGATTTTCCCACACTTCCCATACATATCTATCAAAGAAGTACCCAAAATCACATCCATTTCCCATCCACTCCTCCTTATTTCATCATGTATCAATACCCCCATATCTAAAGCACCACAATTAGCACAAGCAGACAATGCATTCACCATCGTCACCCGATTAGGCGCCACACCCGAATCCCTCATTTTCTCAAACACAACAAGTGCATCACCAAACTTCCCACAATCTCTATACCCCATAATCAAAACCGTCCACGAAACAACATCTCTTTGAGGCATTTCATCGAACACTTGCTGACAAAACTCAATTTCACCACAAGAAGCATACAAATTCAACAACGAATTCTGCACATAAATATCACAAACATAACCCCATTTCACAACATGGGTATGTACAGATTTGCCTAATTTTAGCTCCTTAAGGTCAGATAAAGACTTTAGAACAAAAGGGTACGTGTAATTATTCGGAAAAATACCTTCTTTATGCATATGAACATACATGGAAATCGAATTCTGTTTCAGTACTGGGATTTCGGAATGTGAACATTCTTGAATCAGTGTGTTGCAGATGAAGATGTGGGGTTTCTTGATGAGTTTAGTGTAAAGGGTGTAAGCAGAGTTTAAGAGACCTAAAGATTTGGATACAGAGATGAAGTTGTGGGCTATGGTGGTGTTGAAATGGAGATTGTTGTGGATGATTTGAGCTTGGATTTGGGAGATTTGAGAAGGTGAAATACAGGTTTTGTTCAAGAAATTGAGGATTTGTCTGGATATATTGTTGAGTTGTGAATAGGCGTTCGATATCAATGGCATGATTGAGCTTCTACTCATTCATTTCTTTCAAATGGAGGGAAATGAAAGAGCTTTTATAGAGCCATAATACATAAATAATCATTCAAACTCGGTTTGAGCTGATAAGTAAACACTACAACTTTTAATATGCACATCTAGATACTTCAATTCACTTTTACTATGTTGAACACTTCAAATTCCAAAATGATCATCTAGACACCTCCAATATTTACGTGTCAAGTTTGTATAGAGTGTCCATGAGACACAGTGACAATGAGTTGGAGTGTTTGGTGGCTAGTTGAGACTATATTAAGGTGTCGAGATGCGAAACCTTAAAATTGGAGTGTCTAGTAACTGGTCAAGATCAAGTTTGAGTGTTTGTGCATGTGTATATATATATACACACACAACTTTTTTGTGGAATGGTTGTGTTGTGCAAAGAATGTATTAATGTAGCTGCTTGTCTAGTAGGGCGGCTCTTCTTTGTGGATGAAGAGGAAAATCGACTCTACGAACTCAAGGAAAGATAATTTTCATATTAGGTAAGATTCACCAGCCGCTAGACATAGCATATAAGCTTATAATTGTATCAATAGCACAAGAACTATTTTACCTCATTTAGGAAGGGGCTTTGCATAAGGCGATACGGGGTTGATTTCGCCAATGGCAGCAAACAAAAGCTTTTTCACCTATGAGCATTTGTATGAAGAAAAGAGTCTTGTATGTACAAAGGCTGGAGATAGTTTTTCCTTTATTGTAGGTGGATTAGTAAGTATTTATTTGGATATCATTACTCGACTTAGAAAGACAAATATCTATTGATCGAACCTTCAATTCAGGAGCCATTGCCAACTTGTTATGAAGTTTCTGTCTTCGGTGGGTCATTATTACTTGACTTAGAAAGAGGACAAAATTAGCTCATAAAAAACCATCACCTACCCAACGACTCACTCAGTTATTAATTCAGCTCATTTTAATCTGTTGAATAATCAATCAGTTGTTAATTCAACTCATTTTGATTCGTCCAATAAACCTTCTTTAAATGGAGGGATTTGAATGTTGGTTTTAATGTAGCTATCATCACATATTTTAGAATTAAGAAGACAATCACGTTTGCCAATAAAATTTAGACGTGGGCACCATAAACTAGTTAACAAATGACTAGGTTAGACTCATTCACAATAGGGTCTAGACTTGAATTTTTTTGACTTCCCACCCATCGTTCGATACTTATATTGAACCCCGACTAATTTGAATTTTCCCATGCAAGTGTTGAGACTACATCGGACAAGCGAATTATACCTCACAAAAGAATATCGAGGACAAAACGGACACAGGAGAAATGAAGTGATGATAATCCAACCACCCGATGGAGGACAGAGCTAGGGTATCAGTTATGAATCGATAAAACTCAATTAACTTCAGTTTAAATTTTGTATTTATCTTAAAAATCCGTCGAAAAAGAAATGAGAACCCATAATTCATAAACTTTTGATCTTGACTTCACCTCGTTGTTGGGAGAATTGAAGACAAAGCAAAATATACAATTTGGACCCAAGCAAATCACTTCCACAACTAGCTTGCCAACACACAAATTAACCTAATCTAAGTATATCTCACTGGTCCTAGGAAACACATGGAGAAACTAAGTTCATCTCACATCAACATGTGATTGAGGGTATGTTATCAATATCTCTACCTGTGATTCAATGAGACCTAAAATTTCTTCAAATTCTTTTCCTTATAGAAAAGAAGATAACTCTTCTATCCGAAGAAATAATTCATCGAGCCAATGAATCATTGATATTGACACATACAAGGTCGCCAAAACCTCGTAGAGGTAGAGAGGTCGTTTCCAAAAGATCCTCAGCTCAAGTAACATGTATAAGAGAAACTCTGAGCCTAATAAAGAGGATAATTTCATTTTCCTCAAGATAACCTGTTTGAAGAACACTAAAATCACAACTAAGTTTAGCACAAAAGATCTTGCCAACCAAGTTCTTTCATCAATATGTTCTTTATATTTTGTTTCATCAAATTCTTTCATCATCTTTAAGGACATGCCAATACTAGCATATCTCTAAGTTTAATAGACCAACTAGTAATAAGTAAGACCAACAGCAACAACACATCTGTGTAATCTTACGAGTGGAGTTTGGGGAGAGTGGTGTGTATGCAACCTTATCCCTACCTTGTGAAGGAAGATAGGTTGTTTCTGATAGAACCCTAAGCTCAAGTAACAATCAAATCGATGAGAAATTGAACACCTCAGAGCACAAGGCTATAAATTACCAATCCATAAACTTAAATTGCACGATTTGATTCAGAACAAGTGACATAAGGTACAATACATCCATAGTTGGAGTCAAAAAGACCCTTCAAAAATGATTGAGTGCGTGTCAGATCCTTCAAAAATAGCGCTTTTTTGGAAGATCCGACACGAGGACTGCAACATTTTTGTAGAGTCGAAGCAACATAGGTACAACTTACAAGCAAAACAAAACAACAAGCACACAATCTGAAATGATATATTCAACAAAGATCAAGCAAGACTGTCATAATGATCCACTCGTGGTTCACGCTCAACACAGAGGATTGCATAAAGAGCATAGATAATTCCAGGAACATAGCCCAATATGGTTAATACCAAGCAAATCAAGAACTCCACCTGGAAAAAAATTCAAAAAAGAAATCACTAAATCCCCTAAAACAATTGAGTCAATTCTCAAACACCCTTTTCTGTTTAACAATCACCCAAATCAAATTTTTTTCAAAAAAATACAAAAAATTGAATCTTTTTCCAAAATTGTAAATAAAAACATCACTAAATCCCCTAAAAGAAGTGATCCAATTCTCAAACACCCTTTTCAGCTCATCCCCCAAAACAATCAACTAAATCAATTTTTTTACCAAAAATGACAAAAAAAATTGATTTTTTTTTTTTGCAATTTCAAGAAGAAAAAACACCCCACATCACAAAAATCCCCTAAAACAATTCACCCTTTTCAGCTCATCCTAAAAAACAATCATCCAAGTCAAAATTTTAACCAAAAAATTCATAAAAATTGGATCTTTTTGCAATTTCAAGAAGAAGAGAACACACCCCACATCACTAAAAATCCCCTTAAATAATCAACCCTATTCCCAAACACCCTTTTCAGCTCATCCTAAAAGACAATCATCCAAGTCAAAATTTTAACCAAAAAATTCATAAAAATTGAATCTTTTTGCAATTTCAAAAAGAAGAGAAAACACCCCACATCACTAAAAAATCCCCTAAAACAATCAACCCTTTTCTCAAACACCCTTTTCAGCTCATCTCCAAAAACAATCACCCAAATCAAAGAAACTAAAAATAATAATTAAAAAAGATATCTTTTTAATATATACAAAAAAAGTTTTAGGTAAAAGGGGATCTTACAGTGCAGCAACCATTGCGAAGGCAAACACCAAGAGGAGGAAGCAAGATTGCTAGTAAGATTTCACAGACAAGTGCACATGTTATCTCCATTCTTGATTTCAAAAGGGGCTGAGGGGTTGAGAAATGATTGACTTTTAGTGAAATGCAACCCTTTGATTACTCATATTTATATGGAAAAAAAAAGAATACCGTAGGATAGTACTTCTTTGTTTTATTTTTTTTTAATTTCCCACCCGGTGTGTCCAGCGCTCATATTTGAGCTCCGACATAAAATTTGGATTTCGCTTTGCAGGGTCCATTTTGCTTCCAACATAATTTATGTCACACAATTTATTTATTTTAATTAATAATAATTTTATTTTCGAGTTTAGTGTTAATAAGATGATTAATAGTTAAATAAATATAAAAATTTATTTTAGATTATAAGGTATAAAAATTTCATCTCATTTTTAAATTTTGAGCTTAATCAAACGTCTATCATGTAAATTTGAACGAGTGAACTACTTTTATATTAAGAAAATGCAAAAGTTAGATGTAAGGTGTAAATTGATGGTGGTGGTGTGGGTTCACAGTAGACAACTGCTATGATAGCTGATAATAATAATTAATATTTGTGGTTGATGATAATAATTAATATTTGTGGTTGATGATAATAATTGATAATTGTAACGGTAATAAATAAATAATAATCTTGTTGATGATTAAATGTGATGTTTAACAACATTAATGGTTTGTGATAATGATAGTATATAGTGACTAATAATGATGACCATTGATGGTAATTTAATGGTTATAAGATTCAGATTCTCTTTTGTTTCCTATTAGGTATTTGAAATCCGCATTAAAGCTCCGATTAAATTTGAATTACACACTGCATGGTCCATTTGAGATAGCACTCCCAATAATATTTTTTTCTATACCCAAGACTTGAATACAAAATCTCTAATTAAATGTTTCACTACTACACTACAACTCATGTTGGTCAGCTTTATATTGGACACACTTGTAAATGCTAGATGGCTTCTAAATATATAAGTGTCTCAAATTAAAAGGGAAAATAATGTTTATCTTGGATGAGGACATTTTTGTTTTTTTTGTTTTTTTGAGTGTGTATAAAACTAGGACACTAATAATAATAAAAAAAATTGTTCACACAAGACCTACCAGATGTCTTTGTACTATACTGATTGATTTTTAAAAAAAAATAAATAGTTTAGGATTTGGAAGGATGTGGAGGATTTATTCAACTAATCCCAACATCTTAAAGTCAAAAGTTTAGCTACAAAAGAATAAATATTAACATTTTACTTAATACAATTACATGCAGTTAGTTTTCTAATTACTGATTTACATACTGAATGTGTAATTGATTTCACTTTTGAGATGAATTTCATGGAAGTATTAAGTTGTGTTATGATTTTTATGAATTATTAAAATACTTTCATCATGCTTAACTAGCGGGACTGTAATTTTTCATCCAAAGATTTTAAATATAAAAAATAAACATAACAGAAAGTTAAAGAGATACGTAAAAATATACCTTTAATCTCATATATATAATATATAATTTTGACAAAAAAATCAAATAAAATCCTTTTTGGTACTCTAGTTCCTCCCATGACTCAGTAGGATTGTAATTTATTTTGAAACTACTCGTGTTGGAAAAGAAATTTAATGAGATGGTTGATTCGAACCACTATAAAAGTTGTCTTGATAAGACATTAATATGATGCTAGCAAAGACATTAAAATGTAAAATGTGGTAGCACTATTGGGAGATAGCTCAATCATTCATATTATATTGATCATATAATAATTTAATTATGGGGAGATGATTGCGTAAGTTGAATATTTTGTAAAACGTGTCTAGATGTACTCGAAAAAAATCGTGACAAAGTTTATATCATAACGATAAATTTGAAATTTGAAAATTTGAAAAAGTCTTTAAATGTGTACAAGTGAGCTTTTGTTTGTCTGTACAATGGCCCCATACTTATAAATGATGTGCTAAAACAACATTTAAGAAATTTACACCTTTCTTTCTAATCTAGATCATGCAACTTATGAGCTCGTGAACTACTCATCCCTATGTCTAAAGGAGACTTATGCACTCATTGTCGAGGTCGATTCTAAATATATATGTATTCCATCAAAGCTATGACAGATGAAAAGAAATCACGTAATATTTTTATCTCAACTAGGATTTGAACATGAGACCACCATGGTTCTCAACTAATTTTATTGACACTAAGCTACACCCTTGAATGCTCTAACACATGTAAGACTCGTACCCCGATCATTAAATGACAACACTAGTACTCCTGTAGTCCGTAATGTGGAACAAGAGGGATGCAGAAAGCTTCGTGTTTCAAGAGAATGATCGAGGTCACACAAAAGCTAATGCAGCCCAAGCCTATCCCCACCAATCGTTCTGACTCATGTTTGGGACTCGGAAAGGGAAACTAGGGGTGGAAATTATAAGATGGGATTCGAACTCTCACTAACAAGGTGAAAGTTCAAGTAGCACCAACCAATTGAACTACTACTCAGGTTAGGATGCCTTTAAAGATTGAAGAGGCATTCAATGCTATGGAGAATACAGATATAACTTCTCAAACTTTCTGCATAAGAAACTATCAAATTAGGTATTGATCTAACTCTAACTCAAACCTCAAAATTTAATTCAAAGGAAGGAGGATTGCCAAGTCAAATAAGGAGTCCCGGAATCTTGTCCCAATCCGACGTGGGACATTCTCATCACCCCAATGGTTCCGACTATGGTACCATGTCAAATTTGGTTTAGGGCCTAACACTGTAATTCATACCCCAAAAGCTAGCTCAACGGGAAGAAGATTTCTCAAGCCATATTAAAAAGTATCGGGATCTTATCTCAGTCCGATGTGGGACATTCTCATCAGAAATTAAATACCACACATCAAAACATAAGACTATAAAAGTTCAATCTTTAAACTCAAACTGCAAAGTTGATTAAGATCAAGTGACATAGAGTACAATTCATCCAATGGTACAAGTTTAAATTACAAGCAAAGAATTACAATACAAGAGTAAACAAGGACAACAACCACACAATCTCTAGTGGTGTAGTCAACAAGGCAAAATGAAAAAGGAATTAAACTATCAAGCAAGAGAATGGTAATGATGGTAGTGTGGTTCATTTTGAATACAAAGGATTGCATAAAGAGCATAGATAATTCCAGGAACATAGCCCAATATGGTCAAAATCAAGCAAATCAAGAACTCCACCTGCAAAAGATTACCAAAAAAATAAATCAACACCCTTATCACTAAATCTCCTAAAACAATTGACCCAATTCTCAAACACCCTTTTTAGTTCATCCCAAAACACAATCACCCAAATCAAAGTAGAACAAAAGTTACAACAAAAAAAATTGAATCTTTTTTATCCACATCACTAAATAGAGTAGACAGTCTATCAAAATAGCATCTCTACCTCTAAAGCAGGTTTGCGTACACTCTACCCTTCAGAGACCCCACTTTGTTGTTGTATCACTAAATCTCCTTAAGCAATTGACCCAATTCACAAACACCCTTTTTAGTTCATCCCCCAAAACAATCACCTAGATCAAAGTTTGAAAAAGATTACAAAAAAATTGGATCTTTTTTCATCCACATCACTAAACATAGAAAAAGTTCTATCGAAAATAGTCTCTCTACCTCTCTTAGACAAGGATAAGGTCTACGTTCACTCTATCTTTGCCAGATCCCACTTTATAAGACTAACACTAGATATTTTTGTAAAAATTGAATCTTTTTTATCCACATCACTAAATAGAGCAAAGGGTTAATCATATAGTCTCTCTACCTCCACAAGGAGGATAAGGTTTGCGTCCACTCTATTTTCGTCATATCCCAGTTTATAGGACAACACTTGATATTTCTGTGGTTGTTGTCTGTATCACTAAATCCCCTTAAACAATTGATCCAATCCTCAATCACCCTTTTTAGTTCATCCCACAAAAACAATCACCCAAATCAAAGTTCCCAAAAATATGCAAAAAAATTGAATCTTTTTTTCACTTACATCACTAAATCAACTTTAAACAATTAACCCAATTCTCAAACACCCTTTTCAGTTCATCCCACAAAAACAATCACCCAAATCAAAGTTGTCCAAAAAATATGCAAAAATAAATAAATAAAATGAATCTTTTTTTCACTCACATCACCTAAATCGCCTTAAACAATTGACCCAATTCTCAAACACCCTTTTTAGTTCATCCCACAAAAACAATCACCCAAATCAAGATTTCCAAAAAGTATGCAAAAAAAATCAATCTTTTTTCGATTTTCTTTTTTTAATAAATATGTAGGAAAAAAGGGGATCTTACAGTGCAGCAACCATGGCGAAGGCAAACACCAAGAGGAGGAAGAAAGATTGCTAGTAAAACTTCACAAAGAATTGCACATCTTGAGTCCATTCTTCAAGACACCAGAGGAGTGGGGGTGGGGGTTGGGGTTGAGAAATGATGATGATTGAAATAAGGCAATGATATTTTTCTTATGACTAAAATATATAGGAAATTTCTTAAATCCTAAGGTATGTAAACATTACAATTGACATGATAAATAAGGATATTTCATAAATTGGTATAGTGAAATTATTTTATAATATTTTTTACCTGAGATTACCTTATACTTTAAACTAAATATGATATAAGGTTATCGTTAATTTTTTTTGACAATTTACATACATCTCATAGTGTTAAAAGTTAATTACATTATTTTTCTATTTTTTTTCTAAATTACAAAAATCCCTTGAAATTTATAAATTTCGGATATATCACTAGACTTGGGATACATCAGCAGACATCCGGATACATATGGGAGGGGTGTATCGAAGAGGGGATATGAATGTATCGGAGAGGGGGATAGAGATGTATCCGAGAGTAGATTTCGAATACATCACTAGACTTCTAGATACACAGTAGACATCTGAATATATGAGGAAGGGATGTATCGGAGAGGGGATAGAGATGTATCCGAGAGGGGATATGACATTCGGATACATAGGGAAGGGATGTAGCCAAGAGAAAAGGGATGTATCCGAGGGGGGATAATGATGTATGAACGAGAGGGGAGTGATGTATCTAATAGGAAATTTTAGAAAAAAAATTAAATGGTAGAAAATTTTAGAAATTATGATAAAATAAGATGTGTATTTAGGTATTTTTTTCCTAAATTGTACACTAAAATTATTAATCATATCTCAAGTATCAAATGACCTTGTGGAGAAAATTATTTTGGGATGTATAATCTTGAAATTATAATTCTTGACTAATTTATTATATCTAAACAATAAGTTTGAGGTATAAATTTATCTTCGATTAGTTATTTATTCAACCAAATAAAGTATAAACATATCCGACTCTAATTTTTTTTTCTTTTTGATTCTAAATCAAGAAAATGCTCCCCAAAAAGGAAGAAAATTAGTACCATATTCCTTTGAATGATGTATATTGTGGAAGAGATTTGATCTTTGGTATTAAAAAAGAAAATCATATATGGGTTGACTAGACAAAGAGAAAAATAATATCAATGATAAAGACATGTTTTTCTTAAGTTTTTGTGTGTGTGAAGAAACCTAAGAGGTCACTATTTTTTTTGTACAAAAAGAAAAAATTTGTTGACACAATCAGATCTATTACGTGCACCACCAAAGGATGTGATGTCATGAACGAGATGAAACTCTTTCTTTCTTAATAAAAAATTTAAAGTTTGAGTTTTGAGTATAGAAATATTTTTAAGTAAAGAGTGCATCCCTCTGAATGAGGCTTTAAGCGAAGCAAATTCAAAATCGAATTTCAATATGAATATCAGATATCGAGTGAAAAAACAAAATGAATATCATCATATATTCATTTATAATGATAGATTGATTTAATCAGCAAATATAAATAATTTAAAAAATTGGGAGGAAGTGGATGACCAGTTAGGATCAATAGTTGTTAAATTTTCAACTTTTTAAATATAAAATAAAACTGTAGCTCTAAAATTTGAATGTTACTTTAAATATCGTGCACAAATAAAACTGACTAGAGATGACAAATGATGGAGTTAGATTCTTTATTAAATTAACAAAATTCGTACACTCATTTTGTATTTTATTTTTTATATATAGAATATATTTATACTTCATTTTCTCTACTAAAATAATGTATTTATTTCAAAAAAAATATCAGCTTGGTCTTCCCCAAAAATCTTATATATATTATATAATAGAGTTATATTGTGTCGGCAAACGTAAATGGCGCAAAATTGGAGGACCATATATTTTTTTTAAATGCCCTTCACAATGTTTACTACTAAAATGGATTTAATAATTATAAATTATTAAAATTTATCGCTAACCCTATTTAATCATGAATTGACGATAAATTATCATAAAATTTTGTTAGCTACAAAGTTCATATTCTAATTTAGAATTTTGTGATACGAAAATTTAAAATAATAGATAGATCAAATACCACAACAAATTGAAAAATAAGAGACCATAAACAATATAAAGTTAAAATAATAGTCATATATCAAAGATTGTATTTATTTTGAAATTAAAGAATCTCAAAGCATATAGTATAACTAGTATTTTATAGATCAATTAATCTAAAATTATTGTTTTCCTATCATCCAAAAGGACAAAAAATTAAAAATTATAACATACATTTATTTAATCACGACCGATATTATTTGATACATGTGTTTGTGGATATATTTAATTATGTATTTGTGCGCATAATAAGTGTATTCGTATATATAATAATTGTATCTATGCATATTTGCTATAAAATCCCCAAATCATTGCTATGTTAAACTACCACTATAAAAACTACTAATTAAAGGGCTGAATTAACTAATCGACATATTTTTTTCAAAAAAATAATAATAGGGACATGCCAAAACTTTTATTAATATTTTTTTAAGAACCAAAGAATATCGACTAACAAGTATTTCTAGATTAAATAAATCTAGAATTATTGTTTTCCTATTATCCAAAAAAAATATTAAAAATTAAAAAATATAATAATAACTAGGCTGTGAGAGGACGCCATTCTTCATCTTGATCATAACCACGAACCACAATTGCATAAATTGCATAAATAATTCCAGGAATATAACCTAGTAGGGTTAAAATCAAGCAAATCAAGAACTCACACTGCAAAAAAAAGGCAAAAATAATAATAATAATTAACCAAAAGTGATTAGCAAAATTTATTATGTTGAAAGAGATTGTAAGCATTTGATTCCACGTCTGATATTTGATACTCACATGACTAATTTAAATACGTATCGCGCAAGGTTTTTTAAAGGAAAAATGTCACATAAGGTCACCAAGCATGATGAATTAACTTAATATTGTTGAAACATTACTAGAACCTTTTCTTCAACGTGACGCCTTAATGATCGAGTGACAATTTTGATGGTCAATCAACTTTTTTTCTTTATTACCGTGATTCTTAAGCAACATTGAATGAGTTTTTTGTTACAAATTATAAGTTAATCACGAACGACGACAATTGCATAAATGGCATAAATTATCCCTGGAATATAACCTAGTAGGGTCAAAATCAAGCAAATCAAGAGTTGACACTGCAAAACCAAAAGAAAGTAATTAATAAAAGTGATTAGCAAATTTTATTGTGTTGAAAGAGATTCTAATTTCTAAGCATCTTTTTGTCACTAATAAGCATGATGCATTTTATATATATCAATTCAATTGTATATTGTAAAGAAAGATTTTTTTATTTTTTTAAATAGTATATAATATTTGTAAGTATTTATATGGTTATAAATAATTTCCGTTGTGGATAAATTGAGAACTTAGAATTAAATTATATTCAAAGTGAATTTCTTATCGTCTATTTAATTTTTTGTGAACGAAGTTATCTAATATATTTGCTTGTGAATTCAATCAAGTACTTACTATTTCTCATCAAATACATATATCACATAACTCAGTCAATCAAAATATAGAAAAATAAATAAATAAATTTCTTCACTATCATCGATTTCCCATGATTTTCACCTACCTTATTGACCAACCAATTAAGACACATTGACAACTTAAAAATACATGACATGAACAATAACAAAATTAGAAATTTCACTATGGATATTCGAGATTAATTAACTTATATATGTAATATCAATTTTTATATACGTATTATAATTTTCAACGAAAGGTATTCAATAACCGTTCTTGATCATGAACCGACAATAAAATTACTATGAAGAGTGAGGGGGTGGGGGATCTTACACTGCAACAACCATGTCTAAAGAAAACTCCAAGAGGTGGAATCAAGATTGCAAGCAAAATCTCCAAGAAAACTTCACATCTTGAAGCCATGTTTAAACTATTTTATTTTATATTTAACAAATTTTATGAAGAAAGTTTAATAAACTTCTATGTATTGGAAATAGAGTTAAGTTCCCAAGTGATAAATCCAGCACCTATAAGTACAAGAAATTTGGTTTTTGCTGGTCTTAAGGAAATAATTTATTCAAGATTCAAACTCACTAAAATGTAGGATCTTATAGTCTTATTCAATTAGTAAATATAATTAACATCTTAACTTTTAGTACTCTTTGATTACAATAACATATCCATTATAATATAAAAAAGATAAGATATACATAGATTTTGTGATTCTCAACTAAAAAAATAAGATATTTATGATAATACAAGAACATACCAAGCAAATGAGACAAAAATAATAATAATACACATTGAAGAATAAGAAATACGTGACTACTAATTAATACTACGTACTAATACTGAGAAGTGGAGAAAAGGAGGCTAGACACCTACTTCTCCCACATATAAAGTGGAACACCATACGGCTGCCAACTATATATCATTTTATTCTAATTCTCAACCTTCATATCTTCATATCTACGTTCATGCTTTCAGTAAATTGAAGTCGTATCATATCCTAATTCATGTCTAATGTTCTAAATTGGACCAAATATATCTTTACGGATCGTTTTGATAGTTGGTTGTAGAATTAGTTATATGTTGGTTTCTTAATATTGCAATCCAAACATTGTATTGATTTTATTTATAATAAAAGAATGTTGCTCTCTCTCTTTCACTATCGATTTAGGTGAAATTCGATGTTTCAGCTCAACCTGCTTCTCCGATGAGTAATTTTTCAGCTCCTAATTACTTCACTCAACAAGCCATTCGAGGTTCTGTTACTCTTCTATTGATTTTCCCTCTTTTTTATTTTTCTGTTTGATGGAAGGGATTTTGGGTTTTGTTGTGTTCTTGGTTTGATGTTTATTTGTATAGTGAAAAAATGCATAAACTACTATTCTAATAAAAAAAATTGTTACTAAGAAAAGAGTTAATAGTCAAAAAGACAATCTTTTCGCGAGTTTCATACATCAACTATGATTTGTTATTCCTTTTGTTAGCTGAACTATTAGTGTCTATGTATTGAAACATACCTATCTTTCCTATTCCTACCTGATTGGAACACCGTATAGTTGAGGTGTGTTTTAATATATACAAGGTAGTTCAGATACGAAAAGGAAATAATTGATAGTTGAGGTGTGTTTTTTAATACATAGATGGTGATAGTTTTAAGTAGGAAGAGGAAACTATTGATGGCTGGGGTGTAAATCTCGCAAAAAAATATGATACTTTATGTGTGTTTTAGACAGTCTTTTGCGTCTTCAATACTGACAAGATCAACGCCTATCAATTCAACACATTATCAACAATATTTTATCGATAAAAGATTCATTAATAAATCTGTATCTTTTTTATTTAAACATAAATTCAATATTTTCAAATTAGATGGTAAATGATGCATTGTATCGTATGAACATTTAAAACAAAATACGATTTAAAGACAATAAAGTTATATATTAAAAAAAAACAATTACTAATGATATTTACTTGAAAATAAATTATTCACATCACATTAAGGAGTCGTTTGTGACAAAGATCAATAGCACAGAGATTAGTAATGTAGAAATTGGTAATGCAGAGATTATTTATTTATCAAGTATTTGGTGCATTGCTTCTTAGTTAATCTTATATGTGATTTATATAGTAATATAATAGAGATAAAACACAAGTACTCCCCTAGATTATGATTGAAATCTCAAAGACACACTTTAACTAAACTAACATTCTACTCATTTTTTTTTGTAATTTTATACACATTTTGGCTTATGTTGCACTGCGTGACTTCACGTAGTTTAAACACGTGAGAGATGTTTGAATGTCACATAAGTCAAAAGGGTGTACAAAATTACAAAAGAAAATGGATTCGAGCGTAATAGGACCTTAATTTAGTTAAATGTATCTCTAGAATTTTGATTTTGACTGTACTTATGTCGTATCCCAATGCAAAGTATGAACTATTTTTCCTAATGAAAAAATCTTTTCGGCCAGAAAATTTGATCAGAATGATATTTTACTTTTAAAAATATTTTTACCCTTTTAAATTTAATATCTTTTAACTAAAAAATGGAGAAAAAATCAGTTTATTTTAAAATTAAAAAAACATTATAATCTTTTTAATTTTTTGACAAATTCTGATTAAATTTTCTGATCATTTAGCACTTTTCTTTTCTAATACATCCAACCAAACGACCGTTAAGTGCCATCTTTCTCACATCCTACTCACCTGACTGCTTTATATTGTGTTGTACTTTAGTCAGAAAAAGGTATCATTTTTCAACACAAATTCCCAAAATCACTGTTTGTTCATCACGCCCAGAAAAAAACCCTACCTTTTTTGCTCTCAATCTCTCTATATATGTAACGATTTGCTGTTTTGGCATTGTGAATTTCAAGAAAAATTTCAAAATTTTTGAGTGAATTTTGATGGATTACAAGTATGAATCGGTCGGCGATCATCCGGCGCCGGCGCGGCCTCAGACGTTGACGAGCTATGCACAGCATCCTCAGCCTCCGATGAGTTATACACAGCTTCCGTCTCTCACTTACTTCTCTCAACAAGCTATTCGAGGTTTCTTCCTTTTCTCTGAATTTTTGCTTTTTTATATTTTTTTTTCTGTGGATGAATGATTTGTACGAAAGAAAGGATTTTGGGTTTTGGGTTTTGGGTTTGTCTATGTGAAGTATATCGGAAAGGTTTGTGGTTAATATGGGTGAGAATGTAACTGATTGAGGTGGTGGAGAGTAGTTTTACCATTCTTTTTGTGTTTAATCCGACAATCCGGAATTTGGGTTTTGTTTGTGTGAAGCATATTCAGAAACATTTGTGGTTAATCTGGATGAGAATGCATTTGATTGACGAGATGGAGAGTACTATTAGCATTAATTTTTCTGCTCAATGGGACAATCCTATAGAGATAGAAGGGATTTTGTGTTTAGCTTATGTGGAGTACATTCAGGAGACGATATGGTTAATCTCGATGAGGATGTAGTTAATTGAGGAGGCGTAGAGTAGTGTTGCGATAATTTTTCTGTTCAATGGACAATTTTGTATTAATGGAAGGGATTTTTGGGCTTTGTTTGTGGAGTACATTCGGGAGATGTTGTTTATGTTGATGAGAATGTAGTTAATTGTGGAGGCGGAGAGTAGTTGAGGTGTGTTTTTAATACATAGATGGTGATAGTTTAAGTAGGAAGAGGAAACTATTGATGGTTGGGCTGTAAATCTCGCAAAAAAATGATACTTTACGTGTTTCTTTTGACCGATATTTCTTAACAAAGTTGTATCAAGCTGCAGGATAGAAACTGTGTTCTTCAAGCCAAGTATTGAGCTTTTGGAAACTCTCCTTGCTTTGATCACTTGCTTTATGAATCTAGTCGTAGTCTGCTTCTTGTTCTGAAATATTGTGAAAAAAGACAGTAGCAGCTAGCATCATTCTATACATTTCAGCATTTGGACCTCTTTCTTTAGCATGTTGTTCAGCTCATTTCACGGATGTTCTCCTGATATCACTCCATAACAACAACTTCTGCCACACCTGGTAAGGCACATTACATGCAAAAAACAGACGATGTATGGTATCATTCTCCACCACACAAAGTGAACACATCTGATTTGTAGTCACCCCCATTTAAACAGCCTGTTCCTTGTGTTGAGCCTTCCTAGAGCAACTAACCGTAGAACAAAAATCCATCTAGGTAGGCCAATGTTGTTACAAACTAGCATTTTGGAAATAATGTAGTTTATTGAGTGGATGGAGAATAGTGTATGTTAGCATTATTTTTCTGTTCAATTGACAATTCTGTAGCGATAGAAGGGATTTTCAGTTTTGTTTGTGTTTTGAGTTGGCCTCTGTGAAGTGCATTAGGAGACGTTGGGGTTAATCTCCATGAGAATGTAGTTGTTAATTGAGGAGGCGGAGAGTAGTGTTAGTGTTGTCGTGTGTTTTGTTATATTGAAGTGGCAATTGTTATTTTGAGTAAAGAGGGTGATTTTTCAGGAAAATCGCTAAATGTGCGGGATTCAGGAAATCTAATGTTGAAAATGCAATGAGAGAATTCCGAGGCAGAGCTAGGATTCTTGCTCTTTTTATTTCTCTGTTTGATGAACAATTCTGTAGTGATCGAAAGGATTTTGGCGTTTTGTTTGTGTTCCGTGTTGGCCTCTGTTAAGTACATTTGGAGACTATTGTGGTTAATCTCATTGTTGCTCTTTATTATGTTTATCACAACTTTCAGCTGGCTATGTAGCACCGCCTCATTTTGAAAACAAACCTGATCATATCCAACACCAACCTGCCAATATGCGTGAGGCAATTATGAGAGAGATTGAGAAGGAGCGTATTAGAGAAAAGATTATTGCAGAAGAGATTGCTCGTAGACGCATGGTGGAGTTTGACGTAAGAAGAGAGCTCATGATGGAAAGACAACTAGCAAAGCAGAGTGGAGAAGGATCATCTCCCTTTTCTTCTCCCACACTTCCGTTCTTGAAGCAACAGAGTGACGTAACATCCTTAGAGGAAAGAATTGCATCGTCACAGATGGGAAGGGGATATTAGTCTCTAGTAGATTGGGTGCACGAAATTAGATTGCAAGACTTGACATAGCGCCATTTGAGGAGCGAATTTGAGGGATTCCTTTTCATCAACGAAGCTTCTCCAGGTTCTTGTGATTCCTACATATCGTAATATTGTAAAACTATCGCTGTTTCAGGTAAATAGAAGGACTTAGTTTGCTCTATCGTGTAATTTTTTCTTTATTTATCAAGTGAAATATGTAAAACTATCGCTGTTTCAGGTAAATAGAAGGACTTAGTTTGCTCTATCGCGTAATTTTTTCTTTATTTATCAAGTGAAATATTTAAAACTGGACAACCCACAGCTCTAAGTGTTCTTCATTAGCTCACTTCATCGTTGTAAACTTGTAATGTAATTTACTCAATTATTTTCTTAATGGTGTAACAAGTCAAACAGTGACAAGTATAAATGAACCGA